CATCGATTTCACACGAACCATCATGGCGATGTTTCTCTTGTTTTGAAAGTTCTCATACTCTACCTTGTCAAATACCCAGTGTAACATTCCAGTCAGGCTGTGGTCTTCCAGCTCCTTAAACGCTGGTCTGGAATGAAGAATATTCCGCAGATGTTCCCCTTCTGGATCACAACACCGAGGTACCGGGAGGTCGCACCACTTGCATTGATAATTTTGTGTATCAAATGAGATTCACAATATCGCAAAATAATCAAATTAGGAGACGAACCTTTATGACAATTTTTCGGTCAGTTCTGAACCATCGTCAAGTCCCAATCAGATTTTCCCCTCCCGTCCATACATACACCCCCCCCTACCACCACCCCTCTATCTCTCTCTCACCCTAATCCCCCCCCCCCACGCTTCTCTATCTCCATCGCCCTACCACCTTGCTGGTGGGTCACCCGTCCACCCATTCCCCAACACCAAAGGAAATTCAGCTTTAATAACTTCTATCCTCATCTGTCAACACTAGCAGGCACACTGCCACACTATCTCTCTCTCTCTCTCTCTCTCTCTCTCTCCTCTCTCTCTCTCTCTCTCTCTCTTTCTTTCTCTCTCTCTCTCTCTCTCTCTCTCTCTCTCTCTTTCGATCCAATAATAATTAGTAACTTTACTTTTTATTCAATATCATTTGAATAACCTTTGTCAATGTTGATATAAGCTGAGCATTTTATCACAGTGTATTGAAACTATAACTAAATGACTATATCACTAATCTGACTTTGAAGTTGTAATTAAACCTAGTATTAATAATTAAAAATAAAAAAATAAGAACTATATATTATTATTCAACACCAATCCACGGTTGAGAGGAAACTCGGGAAGAAGTTTCGGTCCTGGACCATAACATGGAACATCTTTACAGTGGTCGATATCAACATGGACGCGCGTAAGTACGTACACTAACCAGACTTTTTGCCTGACAGTTTGGAGAAGTGCCAGGGCAACTTGTATACGCAAGACGGCGGTGCCCCGTGCCGTACTGCCAAACACATGACTGACTACATGATTGTGATGTATCAATCCTTAACCCAGGCAAGTCACTGCACTTGAATCAGACAACACAGTGAACCTTTATCAGGTGTATGATTCGTGTTATGGACGTGTCCTCTAACCCTAAACTCCGGACGGCACTGCCTCTCCTATCTTCCATATGTTAGCCTTATCAGTTGTACATGAATGGTACATAATACCCACAAGATGAAGAATTAGACATGTGCAGCATCTGGGTATCTTTATTAGTAGATGTTTCACCATCCAGTGACTTTATCAATACAAGTTCAAGGACATAATTGGAAGACTGTAGAACTATATACAAAAGACGAGATAATCAGTCCCTCAGCCTTGGATGAGGACCGTAGTCTTCAACACTACGGTCCTCATGCAAGGCTGAGGGACTGATGACCTCGTCTTTTGTATATAGTTCTACAGTCTTCCAATTATGTCCTTAAACTTGTATTGATAAAGTCACTGGATGGCGAAACATCTACCAATAAAGATACCCAGATGCTGCACATGTGTCTAATTCTTCAGTCTTATCAGTACCTAAGAGACGTAAGGAGCGCGTCAAGAGGAAGGATAATTCTATACCATATATACTTCCTTAGGAGAGACACTTGTGTACTTCAGTATTTTATTGTTTAAAACAATATATTACGATGTACACTCTTGTATTACCCTTGTGATCACGTGTACATATGCGCGTGAATATATCTGACGGCTACTTATAGTGACAGAGTTCCCATCATTACCCTTAGTCCCCCAGAGCGTCTCCCCTTTTTCTCCATCTCCTGTGATGAAAATCGTTGGTCATTAAAGTTATTCTCCTGTACACGTCTTCACCTACACTATACTTAAGCCTCAGTCTAATACTTTCACAGATCTGTATAAGCTGGTATGCAACAGTATGACTTTGCCAATTAATTCTGCAGAATGTGACCGTAGTTTCTCCTTCCTGCGACTGACAACTTACCTGAGGATCAACAGTAGTGACACCAGGATAAGTAATATTGCGATTATAGCTATGAATTGGTCAAGAGCCAAGAGACTCATTTTTTTTCAAGGCAGGCCTGGTCAAGGACTGGGCCGCGGGGGCGTTGACCCCCCAGAACGCCCTCCAGGTAGGTATCACTGCTACTTTTTGCTTCTAGCAACCAAAGAAAAGGTCACACTGATAACTGTCCAGGTCCCCCGAGGCTCTCGTTTAAGAGTAAATGAATATATTACGTTGTTGGTGTGTATCATTACAATAATAAGGTCAAGGAGAGCATCATTATTATCACATCTATATAATGATGTAATTTATGATAATTATTGTTCTTATTCTTTGATAGGAACTATTGTTGTCTCACTCTTATATATAATGTGAAACATAATATTAAGATATTTTTATATTTTCTCTGACATAACACTAAGTTGAAGCAGTGTACTTGCCTCTACACAGTACTTGTCTCTACACTGTGCTTGTCTCTACACTGTGCTTGTCTCTACACTGTGCTTGCCTCTACACTGTGCTTGTCTCTACACTGTGCTTGTCTCTACACTGTGCTTGTCTCTACACTGTGCTTGTCTCTACACTGTGCTTGCCTCTACACTGTGCTTGCCTCTACACTGTGCTTGTCTCTACACTGTGCTTGTCTCTACACTGTGCTTGTCTCTACACTGTGCTTGTCTCTACACTGTACTTGTCTCTACACTGTGCTTGTCTCTACACTGTGCTTGTCTCTACACTGTGCTTGTCTCTACACTGTGCTTGTCTCTACACTGTGCTTGTCTCTACACTGTACTTGCCTCTACACTGTACTTGCCTCTACACTGTGCTTGTCTCTACACTGTGCTTGTCTCTACACTGTGCTTGTCTCTACACTGTGCTGTTCTGTACTCTACACTGTACTTGTCTCTACACTGTGCTTGTCTCTACACTGTGCTTGTCTCTACACTGTGCTTGTCTCTACACTGTGCTTGTCTCTACACTGTGCTTGTCTCTACACTGTACTTGCCTCTACACTGTACTTGCCTCTACACTGTGCTTGCCTCTACACTGTGCTTGTCTCTACACTGTGCTTGTCTCTACACTGTACTTGTCTCTACACTGTGCTTGTCTCTACACTGTGCTTGTCTCTACACTGTGCTTGTCTCTACACTGTGCTTGTCTCTACACTGTGCTTGTCTCTACACTGTGCTTGTCTCTACACTGTACTTGTCTCTACACTGTGCTTGTCTCTACACTGTGCTTGTCTCTACACTGTGCTTGTCTCTACACTGTGCTTGTCTCTACACTGTGCTTGTCTCTACACTGTGCTTGTCTCTACACTGTGCTTGTCTCTACACTGTGCTTGTCTCTACACTGTGCTTGTCTCTACACTGTGCTTGTCTCTACACTGTGCTTGTCTCTACACTGTGCTTGTCTCTACACTGTGCTTGTCTCTACACAGTGCTTGTCTCTACACTGTGCTTGTCTCTACACAGTACTTGTCTCTACACAGTGCTTGTCTCTACACTGTGCTTGTCTCTACACTGTGCTTGTCTCTACACTGTGCTTGTCTCTACACAGTGCTTGTCTCTACACTGTGCTTGCCTCTACACTGTGCTTGTCTCTACACTGTGCTTGTCTCTACACTGTGCTTGTCTCTACACAGTACTTGTCTCTACACTGTGCTTGCCTCTACACTGTGCTTGTCTCTACACTGTGCTTGTCTCTACACTGTGCTTGTCTCTACACTGTGCTTGTCTCTACACAGTGCTTGTCTCTACACTGTGCTTGTCTCTACACTGTGCTTGCCTCTACACTGTGCTTGTCTCTACACTGTGCTTGTCTCTACACTGTGCTTGTCTCTACACTGTGCTTGTCTCTACACTGTGCTTGTCTCTACACTGTGCTTGTCTCTACACTGTGCTTGTCTCTACACTGTGCTTGTCTCTACACTGTGCTTGTCTCTACACTGTGCTTGTCTCTACACAGTGCTTGTCTCTACACTGTGCTTGTCTCTACACAGTACTTGTCTCTACACAGTGCTTGTCTCTACACAGTGCTTGTCTCTACACTGTGCTTGTCTCTACACAGTACTTGTCTCTACACAGTACTTGTCTCTACACTGTACTTGTCTCTACACTGTGCTTGTCTCTACACTGTGCTTGTCTCTACACTGTGCTTGTCTCTACACAGTACTTGTCTCTACACAGTACTTGTCTCTACACTGTACTTGTCTCTACACTGTGCTTGTCTCTACACAGTGCTTGTCTCTACACTGTGCTTGTCTCTACACTGTGCTTGTCTCTACACTGTGCTTGTCTCTACACTGTGCTTGTCTCTACACTGTGCTTGTCTCTACACAGTGCTTGTCTCTACACTGTGCTTGTCTCTACACTGTGCTTGTCTCTACACTGTGCTTGTCTCTACACTGTGCTTGTCTCTACACTGTGCTTGTCTCTACAGTGCTTGTCTCTACACAGTGCTTGTCTCTACACTGTGCTTGTCTCTACACTGTACTTGTCTCTACACTGTACTTGTCTCTACACTGTGCTTGTCTCTACACTGTGCTTGTCTCTACACTGTGCTTGTCTCTACACTGTGCTTGTCTCTACACTGTGCTTGTCTCTACACTGTGCTTGTCTCTACACTGTGCTTGTCTCTACACTGTGCTTGTCTCTACACTGTGCTTGTCTCTACACTGTGCTTGTCTCTACACAGTGCTTGCCTCTACACTGTGCTTGTCTCTACACAGTGCTTGCCTCTACACTGTGCTTGCCTCTACACAGTGCTTGCCTCTACAAACACATAGGCCTGGGCCACGCTTCTCCACTCGTAAGTCACTCCAATACAGAAATTCTGGAGGCGTCCCTAACGTTCATAACGAAGGAATACCCTGATGAGGATTACACAAACCAGGTTAAATGGTAGTTACCCCCTGGTGGAGGGGTAGTGCTGTACTTGACCAGATTTAATGCTCGGTACTTACCCTGGTCGAGGGCGTAGCGGTCTCTGACGTGGGTAACTGGTAGTGGGTTATCGGTCAGTAGACGGTAGTACCCTTGCAACACCAGTACCAGTTCTTCAGCGTCACGGTCCTCAAGGCTCAGCAACAAGTTCTGTAAAGTTACACTCTGGTTAAATTACGTACACATGCACACGTACGTTAACAATATACCTATATTAACATAAAATATTCCACATATATTAACATCAAAAACAGCTGCTACAACATCTTCCAAGATACTCGTCATTAATCATTAAAGATACTAAGTAAGTAAGTTTATTCAGGTATACACAAATACAGTTACATAGAATTATCATACACTGACGTTCAAGATACCTCTTACCGCAACAAGTAAGATACTATCTTAACATGAGAGATACCACATATGTACTAAAACACACACACACACACACACACACACACACACACACACACACACACACACACACACACACACACACACACACACACTGCTGTCTTAATTCCCTGCGACAACACTTACATCTCTAACTTACTCTTCTCTCTATCTGCTGAGTCAACGTTCCACTGTGGTGGTAGGAGAACAAGACAGTAGCAACATGTTGCACTGCAGTGGTAGAACAACAATGTAATAGCGACATGTTGCACTGCAAGTTTCTGCAGTGAATAATGGATGTTAGATTGCGAGTTTGTAACGAGATGAGATGTGTTTGTATTGATAAGGTGGTTTAGAAAGACACGTAAGCAAACACTATGACATATTTATTAGAAAACGTTTCATTCCTGGGACCTTGATCAAGGTCCCAGGACCGAAACGTTTTCTAATAAATATGTCATAGTGTTTGCTTACGTGTCTTTCTAAACCAACTTGTCGGTATTTATTACCAAGGTTTATACCGTATTGATAAGGTATATGAGAGAAAGAGAAAGCACTGTCTGCAAAGCTGCTGACAACAGCAGCAGCAGTAGAAGCTTCAACAGCAGAAGCTTTTTGCATCTGTAGAAGCTGTACAGAAAAGGTCAAGTCCTGGAAGGCTTCAGTATCTTATAAACCCAGCAGCCACACACTTCTACACCCGTGGTGGGTGTTGCTGCCTCCCCTCACCCCCTTAGGGAGGAGCGGGGGTAATAAATCCTCCCTCAGGGAGGGGGTCGGGGGAAGTAAATCCTCCCCCAGGGAGGTCGCGAGGAGGCTGGCGGCCTCCAAGCAACCCCTGAAGATCAACCTCTGGCCCACACTCTACAATTACTCCATAATCCTGATGGAGACTCTTTGAAGACCAGGTAAAGTGGATAACATTGTACTCTGGTGCCAGGGATAACACTGTACTCTGGTACCAGGGATAACACTGTACTCTGGTGCCAGGGATAACACTGTAGTCTGGTGCCAGGGATAACACTGTACTCTGGTACCAGGGATAACACTGTACTCTGGTACCAGGGATAACACTGTACTCTGGTGCCAGGGATAACACTACTCTGGTGCCAGGGATAACACTACTCTGGTGCCAGGGATAACACTGTACTCTGGTGCCAGGGATAACACTGCACTCTGGTGCCAGGGACAACACTGCACTCTGGTGCCAGGGACAACACTGCACTCTGGTGCCAGGGACAACACTGCACTCTGGTGCCAGGGACAACACTGCACTCTGGTGCCAGGGATAACACTGTACTCTGGTGCCAGGGATAACACTGTACTCTGGTGCCAGGGATAACACTGTACTCTGGTGCCAGGGATAATACTGTACTCTGGTGCCAGGGATAACACTGTACTCTGGTGCCAGGGATAACACTGTACTCTGGTGCCAGGGATAACACTGTACTCTGGTGCCAGGGGTAACACAACATGGTGGAACACTGTAGGTTTCAGACGAGACGACCAAGCAACACCCTGGAACACTGCAGGTTTCAGACGAGACGACCAAGCAACACCCTGGAACACTGCAGGTTCCAGACAAGACGACCAAGCAACACCCTGGAATACTGCAGGTTTCAGACAAGACGACCAAGCAACACCCTGGAACACTGCAGGTTTCAGACGAGACGACCAAGCAACACCCTGGAACTCTGCAGGTTCCAGACAAGACGACCGAGCAACACCCTGGAACACTGCAGGTTTCAGACGAGACGACCAAGCAACAACCTGGAACACTGCAGGTTTCAGACGAGACGACCAAGCAACACCCTGGAACACTACAGGTTTCAGACGAGATGACCAGGCAACACCCTGGAACACTGCAGGTTTCATACGGGGTTGGTAAGACTGGATACCTGGAGAGTCTCATTACAGGAGACTTGGGGAAAAATGTCATCACGAGATGGTGGTGGTTGAGGATGGGTTGTGGAGGTGTTGTGGGTGGTAGGGGGTTAAGGGTGGATTATTTGGTCTGTTGTGGGGATAGGGGTTGTATTACGGATAGCGGGGGTGTTGTAGGTAAATTTGCAAAGCTCTATTCCACAAGGTACAGTACCTGTTCTCTTCCTCATTCTCATAACCGACACGGATATGAATCATATCGTCTGCCAAGAGCGATACGACGCTATTAGAATTTACATGAGAGTGACATCTACTGAGGACACAACCTCCAAACTGATATAAACAAAGTCTTGCAGTGGACCACTGACAACAACATGATGTTCAATGAAGACAAGTTTAAGTTATTCCGTTATGGAAAGACTGAGGAAATAAAGATAAGAACGGAGTATAAACAAGCTTGAATCATTCTGTAGAAAGTAAGACTAACGTGAGAGACCTGGGAGTAATCATGTCAGAAGATGTTACCTTCAAGGATCACAATAGTGTCACTATACCTCTGATAAGTTTGAGCTCTTCTAGTCACGAAAAAATTATAGATGCCAAGCCAAGGATGATACTCTAAGTCATTAATTCTCTCTAGACTGGAGTACTGCTGTAATCTAGCAGATCGTTTAAGACAGGTGATATTGCAGACCTGGAGAATGTGCAGAGAACCTTCACTGCTCGCATGTAGATTCATTCAAGCACCTGAATTACTGGGAAGGCTCTAAGCCCCTCGATCTGTACTTCTTGGAGAGTATGCCAGAGAGATGCATTATAATCTACACCTGGAAAATCCTTCAGGGACTGGTTCCAAATCTTCACACACAAATTATTCCAAATGAAAGCAAGAAGCTTGGCAGACGGTGCCAGATAAGCGTGGGGAAACCAGGACCTTTAAATACCCTCCCTTCATACACGAAGGGGATTATTCATAGATCCCGACTGTCTTATGGAGAAAACTTGACAAGTTTCTCAGGTCAGTCCTTGATCAGCCGAGTTGTGGTACATACGTTGGACTTCGTGCAGCTAGCAACAACAACCTGATTGACCAGGCCATCCACAGGGAGGAATGATCTGGGACCGGGCAGCGAGGGCGTTGACCCTCGGAATACTCTGCAGGCAGACTCAGGTAGGAAGAGAATAAAGAGGGCGGAGGTGATGTTGGGGTAGGAGCCACAACTGTCCACTGAACTGAATTAAATTTCTCTCTCCCACACCACCTCCTGTAATGTCAACGCTTCCATTTTTAATATCCCCCTTCCATTAACCACCCTATATATCCCCAAATCCTCAGTCCCACCCTCCCCACCATCAATGAACCCCCTCCCCCCCACTCTTGTATTTTGCATAATAGCCAACAACTTCCATCTTCCCCACAAACTCCACTAATAAAAGTTGTGGTGCACTAAAACTAACATCAGAGTGACTTTTAAACTTTTAACTAACTTCAAGGAGACACCTTGATGGAGACACCTTGATGGAGACACCTTGATGGAGACAACTTGATGGAGACAACTTGATGGAGACACCTTGATGGAGACACCTTGATGGAGACACCTTGATGGAGACACCTTGATGGAGACACCTTGATGGAGACAACTTGATGGAGACACCTTGATGGAGACACCTTGATGGAGACAACTTGATGGAGACACCTTGATGGAGACACCTTGATGGAGACACCTTGATGGAGACAACTTGATGGAGACACCTTGATGGAGACACCTTGATGGAGACAACTTGATGGAGACAACTTGATGGAGACAACTTGATGGAGACAACTTGATGGAGACACCTTGATGGAGACACCTTGACGGAGACACCTTGACGGAGACAACTTGATGGAGTGTGTAACAAGTGACACTGAGGAGAGTAAAGGACATTCAATGAAGAAGAGATGAGAGGAAGAGAGAGGGGGAAATATAGAGAGGAAAGAAGGAAGAAAAGAAATGGGAGAATATCAAATTCCAGTTTGAGAAGAACTTAGCCAGGATCAACTAGTGCCAGAGACTGTCACGACTCAGGTGCTACACACACACACACACACACACACACGCACACGCACACGCACACGCACACACACACGCACACGCACACACACACACACCCAAGAGGCAACGTAAGGAGATGCAACCACACGTAGGTATGTACACACACACACACACACACAAAGAGGCGGGGCCAGGAGCTATGACTGGACCCTTGCAATCATAACTGTGTACACACACACCGATAATACCGAGCACATCTCCTGAGGCGCACACCAACCAAATAACTGCTGCAGCATACGGGTGCCTGGCAAACCTAAGAACAGCATTCCGACATCTTATTAAGGATTCGTTCAAGACTGTGTACACCGTGTATGTCAGGCCCATATTGGAGTACGCAGCACCAGTTTGGAACCCACACCTGGTCAAGCACGTCAAGAAATTAGAGAAAGTGCAAAGGTTTGCAACAAGACTAGTACCAGAACTAAGAGGTATGTCACACGATGAGTGGCGACATGTTAATGACATATAAAATACTGAGAGGAATTGACAAGGTGGACAGAGATGAGGTTTCAGAGATGGGACACAGCAACAAGGGGCCACAACTGGAAGTTTAAAACTCAGATGAGTCACAGGGATAATACGCAGTATTTTTCAATCACAGAGTTGTCAGGAAGTGGAACAATCTGGAGAGAGAGATGTAGTGGAAGCAACATCCATACACAGCTTTAAGAAGAGAAACAATAAAGCTCATGGAGCAGGGAGTGTGTGGACCTGGTAGCGACCAGCGAAGACGCGGAGCCAGGAGCTGTGAATCGACCCCTGCGACCACAGACGGTGCGT